TGCTTAATGGTACAGAGAATCCTGGTGAAAAGCCCATGAGATATTCTTACTATTAGTGTAAACTGAATTCAAAGCTTTGGTTTGCTTGCTTGGGTATTATGTGCACTTATGAGATTAGATTAATAATAGCCCAAACGGGTTCTGTTATGGCAAGTACAATCTTAACGTCTCGTGGCTTTAACCATATTATTTCAGCAAGTCTTAGGTCTTAAATGAGCCTCATTATTACAATCTAACTGACTTTGAATTAATTCAATCTTATAACAGAAAAATGTCTAAACCTCCCCTTCCATGTCCCCCATTTTTCTATGGTTCTATAACCCTACCTGTATATTCAGAACTTTGAGGTATCTTATAACCTATTCTTCACTGTAAATACCTTGACTCACTCAATTTTCAGTACGTTCACAGCTCGCTTCATTCATATAGACTCTTTTCTATCTTTGTCCAGAGGTACTTATTTGTGTTAAACCCAGTCATCTTTCTCAATGGAGACTAGAACCTCAATGGTAGGCATCTGGGATGCCAGACCTGGGCTCTCGAGTTTCTTCAGTTACCATGGTCATATTTCTTTTCCTCAGATGCTGAAAAGGTTCAAGAGACTCACCTGCCTCTTCCATCAAATTGTAACTCAATTTACCTGCATAAGCTGTTGACATAACGTTTGCCATTACATGCTTTACTTAATTTATTTCACCCTTTTCATTGATCCATATTTGTTAAGATCATCTTATAAAGGTTTGCAGCCCTAACACCCAGAAATACCATTAGATCTTTTCCTTCATGCCCCGTGTTTAGGACCAATCCAGCCAATCACAGGTCCCACCTAGTGCTTGTTCACACCTGTCACTGCATTTTTTTGCCTCTGGTGTCCACTTCACTTCAAGCCCATGGCACTGTACGCCCATACAACTACTCATTTCTGGAATGGCCATGCAAACTCATCGCCCTTCTTCTATTTGCCTATGGAGAAGGAGATGAGTTTGCCAGTCCAAACTGCCTTAAACAAACAAACAAATAAAAATCCAACTAATTATTTAATACATTCAGGCTTCAGAGCACTTTCTCACATTATTGTTATAATGCAGGTTTTCCCAACTAAATGTGTATTCAAGAGCTTCAGAATGTCTCAAGTGGAGGAGGCTTGTTTGGTAAGCCAAAGACAGTGTATGGACTATAACTGGGGGCTGGTGAGTGAATTGCCTCTTCCAGTTCCACCATGTGTCCACCTCTATCTCATAATTTCCCTTCTCAGAAAAGGTACAGCTTCATTAGGATGGCAATATATACATAAGGTGTCATTAAAAAGTCTAATTCACAGCTAAAAATATGTATGGGAAATAATAAAGTTCAAAATGATTGCCCAACAACCATGAAGTGTTCAAATAAGTTATATTGCCTCATTGAATCATGTGCTATGTTTGCAAAGATAATTTATTGTCATAAAGAAATGTGCATGATACAATGTCTTAAAAATGATATAATTGTAGTAGTCCTATTAGTTCTGAGCCTTCACTGAATGTTTAGCTATTTACCTATATTTCCTTTTTAAAATTTTCACTGCAAGAGCAAGATATAAAACTGTTCAAAATGAGAATGTTTTGACTTTACTGCATTTTTCTAAGTTTAGTAAAAGAACATTATATTAGTTTATTAGTCAGAAAATATTATTTCAAAAAGCTAAATATTAATTCTAGTGCAAACATGATGAAGCATTTCATTTATATCTTGTCATAGAAATCTTCTAAGTGCCCTTAAAGGATCATTAAACACACCTTTCTATTATTGCTTGTACACTTCACTCAAATATATATACCCATTACTAAAATGTGAGTTTCTTGGGGGAAGAGCCAAGTGTGTTTTAATACATTGCCCGACACAATAGGCCTTCACAGAACATCCATAGGCACAAATTATCTCTGGTCATCCTGATGAGAAAAGCTTGTTTTCTAAATTTTCTACGATCACATAGGTAGCAAGAAAAAAAGGTATTTTAAAAGTAATTTTGATTGTTTCTAGTGATATCAAGAGGAAAACAGTCAAATAAGCAAAATGTGCCCAGAGTTGAGTCCTCTTATTCACAATGTGGATATTAATTTATAATACGAAAGAATACATATGTATAACTTAAAAACTCAGACCATCTGAAGTAAAAAGCAGTGGCCTTCTTTTTAACAACCCCACCAGACTCTAAATGCAACTAGCATACATAATGTCTCATTTCTTCCAGAGGCCCTAAACATTCATGAATGTATTAGATTATGCAAAACACATGGAGATATAGATATATGTGTTTATATTATTTAAAATAGTAGAAATAGATATATATGAAAACTTCATGTATATATGAAAAATATGTGTGTATACATCTAAATATATACAGAATGAAAATATTACACATCAGAAAACTAAATCCTGTTGTACTTGATTTTTTAATGTAACATATCTAATAATCTTTCTTTTCAGAAAAGTGCATTATTGTGTATTTTATTTTTTTACTTAATGTATCTAGCAATCTTTCTATTCAGTGGACTTTATTATAATGTAACACCCCTTTGTTGACAGAACTTTGGTTGTTGATGAAATTATTCTTAATGCTTTTGTAAAATATACATATCATTTGTATATGTGTGTTTTATACATATAAAGTTTATATGTGTATAACACATATATAAATTATATATGAAAGTTAAATATATGAATTTGTATGTATATGTGTACCTGTGTGTTTCTGTTTGTATAACTTACAGCACTTTTAGCAGAATACTGTTTTTAAATATGGAAATGTATTAATAAATTTCTCCCCAGAAAGTTTATAGGAGTGGCAGCCTGGCTCCACCCACTTCAGCACTGAGGAGAAACCAACCTTAGCATTTGTTTCATCAGAGAGATAAAAAACAGTAACCTGCTGTTATTTTAATTTGTAATTTAAAATATTCTGGTAAAACTGGGAATCTAAATATATTTATTGGCCATTTACTTCTTTGTAAATTACTAGTTTTCAATCTCCTTTATTGATTTATTTGAGCTTTTATTAGTTAAAATAATAGCCTTTTGTGAAAAGATGAATTATTTTTTCCCTGAATTGACTCTCCTAGGACTTATAAAAATTATAATGTGTACTAGTTACCCAGAATATTTTTAATCACATATATCTAACATTTTCTAGTATGTGAATTTTGTGTTTATTAGGACAATCTACTCACCCCAAGATGATTTCTTTTTAAATGGTTTATTGATCGATTGGTGCATCTGGATTTTGGTTTTATATTTTTCCATATAATTAGTCCCTTTCCTCTCTCCCTTCCTATGTCCCTTCTAAGAGCCACACCTGAGGGGTGAATTTTCTGTAGCCTCAGGATTTGATGCAACCTCAGTGGCCAGAACTGGTATCTGCCCTCTCCTCTTGTGAAATGTCTAATGTCAAGATTGGCTTCTAGTAGGAGGGACAGTGTGGGCCCCTGGAAACTTATTTGTACCAGCAATAGCATGGATTGTTTTACTTTCCTCTTCAGTTTCTCTTCTCATTAACTTAAGTGGCAAAAGACTTTCGGCTTCTCCCCTGATGGTGCAAAAGGCTGGGGGACCCACGTGTGGGTCTCTCTACACTACATACCTCTCTGTCCCCCTTAGCTGACCCTGAGACTCTGCAGCACCTCCCGGCTCAGAGCTTTCTATGATATCTCCTGCCATCTTTACTTAATGATGCGGATGACTGGAAGCTTCTAGCCACCAGCCCTTTCCACAGTCTGAGTACTGCTGATGTCATTTGGCCATTGCTTGTTTGTTTTCATTACTCTCTTGTAGCAATGGCGGGGGTGGGAGTGGGAAGCATCTGAGATCTGGCTTTACTCCTCTATCTTAAATAACAGGAAGTTCAAACTATTGTAATCATTTAAAATCATCCACTGCCATGGGAAAATGGCTAAAATAAATAGCCCACAGCAATCACTTCTATAAAGAAAATTGTGTCTCTTGAGAAAAGATACTAAAATCCAAGGAAATTTTCAAAAGGAAATTTCAATCAGTGTTATTAATTGGTCCATATTCAGATAGGACTATTTCTGATTCATATCTTTGGAAGTGCCAATCCTTATCAAATTCTTCAAAGAATACCTAAACCTGAAAGTATATAATATTAATTCTTTTTGTTCCTCCTTTCCATCACCACATAATCTGGCAGAAACAACATAAAAAAGTTATAAACTAAGGATACTAACATAGCAATGGAATACATGATTTTTTTTTCCCATGGTAATTCAACAGCTGTTCTATGGGTATCAAATATCTCTAGCATTAAACAATACAGGAAATTAATAATTTCAAGCACAACTTAGATCGGTGCTTTACTTATGAGTTTTCAGGCCCAACTCAGATTTTAAGTGTATGTGAGCAGCTTTTAAATAAATGTTAAACAACATTTAACATTTGTCCTTTCCAACACTCTCCTTTTCTATCACCTTTCCAAAATCTGCTCTAGAAATAATTTGACAACATTAAATATGTAAGTATTATAATTTTTGTATTAAAGCCAGTTTCAAGTTTTTAACATAATTTTTGTATTAAAGTCAGATTCATTGGAAGTCTATTCTTTACCTATTTTTCAAAATTCTTGATGTCTCTTTCCATTTAGAACAGTTGCATTTTCACAAAGCTATTTGATGTATTTTTTTTGTTTTTGTTTTTGTTTAACAGATACATAAATCTGAGCTCAGTGTTTAGTTTCTGACTCTATATAAGCTTCATGTTTCTCACTTATACAAGGCCCGTGGAAGATGCCCTCCAGGACACATTTTCTTCTGTACCTTCAAAGATGAAAGACTTCTACCAAAGGGATACATTTTGCCTCAAGCTTTCAAAAATGTGATATCCAAGTTCATTACTTGTGCTGCATTCCAGTCAACTGGAGTCAAATCCATGGAAGAGAATCACCACCCGAGACCTTGTCTGCCATTTAGAAAATGACTTCCCAAACCACAGAAGGTTAATTTGGAGCCTACCTCTCCATACATGGATTTGTTTTTCTCTCTGAGGAATCCAAGCCAGCGATAACCAGGGCACTATCTTGTCGGATGCTGATATTTCTGCTGTCAAAAAAAAAAACAAAAACAAAAATAAAAACGAATAACTTTTTTTCCTCCTCAACCTCCCATACAAGGTCCCAAACTACCGCCCTGGGCCTGTGGGTTCCTCGCAAGCTACCAGATTGTGCAATGTACTATCACAGAATGTCATATTAGAGGCCTGTTCCAGTCTCATCCAATAAGTAATCTGGCATGAAGAGAAGTTAACTGAATTAGTAGCCAGTTGGGACACTTTGTGACCTACTCTTCAGGAACCAAGTCCTCTGAACTTTTCCATTCTGCTTTGCCTTCATACTTTAATAGGGACCGAATCTCCATTAACAATTGAACGGCGACAATAAGTGCCATCAGGAAAAGGAAATTCAATTTTCGTGGGGGATGACAGCCTTACCTTTTCGCGCTTAATTGGCCGTATTGTCTCCAAAAGTTAATTGGTTACTTAGTCCAGGTAGTTAGTAAAATGTTTAGCTGCGTCAAAAAGCTCAGGCTCCCACTGTTAATGGGGCATGAAATGGAATGTTTGATACTGCAAATAAAATCAGTGATATTCAAGGATGTTATGGTAGGTAATGCGTTGAAACTGCCATTTAATGGGTCCTGGAAGATTAGGGTAGTGTCAGCCGGAACCGCCCGGTCTCTTTTCTGACATTGTTAGTTGCCTCTTCATTTACTTAACGGCTGTCTGCACTGATTACATAGGCATAAAACTCCGTACAAAAAAACAACAGAGACACGCTCTATTAGCAGTCCAATTAGAACTATTTGCATATTACAGTTCATTTCTGCTTAAGTGAATCCCTAATACAACTTTAGGAAAAAAAAAATTCTATTGTGTCGTTTGAAAGAAAGAGAAAAGAAAAGCCTTAAAGGTGATCTCTCCTTTCTTTTTTCTCACTTTGTTTTTTAATCTCTCTCTCTCTTTCTCTCTCTCCCTCATTTCAAATATTATATACTTTGAGCTGAAAAGGAGAAAATAACAACGCTGAACTTGAGATAATGTTGTTGAGATTTGTAAAGACTAGGGCATTCTTGTGACAACTCAGTCCTTAGGCAAAAATCCGGGCCAGTGTCACCCATTGCTGTTATGCTTCATTTAGAGAAGGTGTCTACTTTTGAGATGTGTTTATAGTTTGTTTTAGATCCACTTTACTTAGAATTTTCCAGCAAAGACAGTAATCTCTGTAACAATGTCCCTGGCAGGGCAGAGTCCTTTCTGTGGTATCCCTTCCCTACACAATTACAGAGGGTGGAAAATGCAGTTCTGTGTCATTTCTGTTCCACTAAAGGTTCTGACTGTGGACACCTCGGGGATTTTCAACTACACACAACATCAACACACGTGACATCAATTTCTCTTCACGCAGGTAAGGATGGTGACAAGTGGGGTTAAAAGCAAAACTGGAGACCTCACTTTACCAGACATTTATCTGATTTTCCAAATCTTAGTCCTTAGAAATGACATTATTTGATGGCTACTTATAAATGTATTAGGAATACTTTATTTGCATTATTATTAATATTACTAAATGATGATCATATAGAAATCAGAGGGCCTTTTATTGAAGTTGGAAAGTCATCTCTCCCTAGCATAGGCCTTGGTAAATTCTAATGAATTAAAAGCAGCATGCTTTCCTAAACTGATGCGTGAAGAATGTAGAGAGTGTTTTAAGACAGCAAGCACAGTTTGTCACGATGTTTTTAAGATGCTCCACGGACACTCACATCATTCTCCAATCTCACTGAGTCCTGTGAGTTTATGGAAGACTGGGAGATTATAGAAATAATTATTAAATTGAATAGGAGCATGCTGGAAAGGAGAAATGGCTCAACTGCACTGAATCTCTGGCAGGTCCTGCAGGTGACAGGAAGAGGACAATGATGGCACATGGGTACCACTGAGAGTTTCAGTGGATGGTGGGGCAGGAGGGTAGAAGGATGCCAGTATAGGGAGTTTCAAAGCATTTGGCGTCTCATGGCAGTCACTATGGCTAACTGCAATGGTTATAGTGATGTCTTTTCAATCTAGTGTTGAACCATTTATTTGGGATGCACATACAACTCCTTCAATTTAAAACAAAAAAGTACAGAAAGCACAAGACTGGAAACCACCCCCTAAAACATCTGGGCTGGACAGCAGAAAAGAGCAGGAGAGGGAAAGGACTTTGTTATTTTGGGGATTATCATGATGTCATCACCTCATGTTGCTGGCAAGTTTCCCTTTAGACCAAGCCGTGGCTCCTGCCCTGAGCTTACAATCATGCCCTTGAATTTTCTAGGCCCAAGAACAATGAAAACTCCTATGCTTGATGAATTATCCTTTTGCCCTGAATGGACTCTAAGATGAGATGTGCCAGTGAGGATGCATTACAGCCATTTGATTGGTCCTCGGAGTAGTTACCTAAAACAGCTATGTGACATATATAATGTTCACACACTTATACTAATACCAACAGAGTTTTTCCAACACTGGCATCACCCAATTCTCTTTTGTCCTCCAAACCTAATTTCACAGGTCAGCCCACCCTCCACGATTCTCTGAATTTGACAGTCGCTGGAAGAGTTCAGGTGTTGACCATGGCAAATAGAGGAACAGAGATGAGGATTATTAAAAGTGACAAATACACTATTCAGGAAACGTGAGCAATTCCTAACTGGCCCTTTTTCTTGATCATCTCTAAGCCATCATTTTAAGTGTAACAAGTACGCAATTGTAAGAAAAAGCAGAGAGGAAAGACAGCAACAACAATAGCAGCCACCTAACCCCAAAGCAGTGTAAACAAACCAAACAAAAAAGCCTATCAGAGGGGGAGGCAAAATCCTCGATCTGTCATTTTCAATTCTTTTCACCACAGGAGTGGAGGCGCAATGTGAAATGTGCTGGCTCTGACTGCCATAGGTATTGTTTGGACGCCCCGGTGGGTCCTCTGTGCCCTGCCTCCTGCTTTCATCCAGCTCTTATTAACACCACCACCAGAGGAACACCGTCAGAGGCAGAGGCTGACACACCGGCCCATTGCCTGGGTGAAGCAGCCCTGCCACGGGTGGCAAGGAGTGAGTGCCAGAGAGAGTGAGCCAGACAGCTCTGAGACATGTACTTTTGCCCCTGAAAGCAGTCATTGCACCCCGCCAGGAAAACAGCTCTCTAGAAAAGCACTGCCTGCTAGTAAAATGGACTAAATCAGTAAACAGTGATTAAGGCTCTGGCTCTGCAACTGTTGTCACCACCTCAGACACATGGCTTCTCCTCCCTATACACACGCACACACAGGGAAAAAAAAAAAGAAAGAAAGAAAAGAAAAACCAAGCAATATAGCCAAAGTTGAGATCTAGAGGGAGTTAGCTGAAGAGTTGAGGAGAAAGAACAATTCATGCCTCTTGAAGAGGAGATGCTGTTTTCCTGAAAAATGAAATGAATATTTTTGGATATTCATTTCTCTTACTTTTTTTTTGGACTTGCAATGAGAATTGCCTTTCTAAATAAAACATCAAGCAATGAATATAAACAGTAGATGGTTCAATTCAACATCTACTCCTTATTTGTCTGATTCAGTAATGTGCAGAATATAATCTAAATCCCTCCAATAGGTGGGATAAACAGAAGAAGCATAACATGTCTTGATATGTGCTGTTTAGCAGAAACGTGTCAGTTCATCACATTGCTTTCTTGAGTCAGAAGACTAAATCTCACATGCACAAGTATACATACATATGTACCCTTCGATCTTCCTGTGTATGGATATAGATAGATTTCATATGTAAATATAATTATAGGAGTTCATGGTTTTAATCTTTTCAATAATGCTATAGCCATAATAATTTAAAATATGTTCTACCTTTCACCATGAAAATGTGTTTACATGGAGCATAGTCATTGTGCCTGTGCTTTGAACCCTGTAGAGAAGGCTCACTGGGACTCTAGAATATAGGAGTATAATCCAAGAAGACCCTGACAACTTGGAGAAATGGTCAGAAACAAGGAGAATGAGGTCTTCTGAGTGCAGGGTCACACATCAGAGAAGGAAAAAAATAATGACCTCCACATAGGGCTGGCAGCAACTCTTAGGCTGACCGTGAATCACAAGTGTGGACTGTGTGGGCTAGCAGACTCCTGAGTGGCCACTGCACTCTGCCAGGCCATGGAACGAAACTGCATCTAGCCTTAGCCCACCTAACTCAATCCTGGTTCAGAACAGTATGATTCAAAGTTAATGAAGAGGAGTCTGAGAAAGACATTTTAATCAAAAGGAAAACAGACAAACCTCAAAGACTTAAAAAGTCTACTTTTTATTTATAAAGTCTACACATATATAAATGATGGTCCTCAAAGGAAATTGCAAAATATTATATGGACTATTTCCCACACATCTCTAAAAATAGCAGCTTATGAAAAACAACTCAATTTATTGTTGAAGAAACTGTCACAATCTGTGCCCCTGCCAAATCTCCTGTTGAAATATAATCCCCAGTGTTGGAGGTGAGGCCTGGCAGGAAGTGTTTGGATTATGGGGACGGATCTCTCATGAATGGCTTAGCGAGCCATCCTCTTGATGATGAGTGAATTCCCAGGAGATCTGGTTGTTTAAAAGTGCGTGACTTGCATTTCTCTAATGACCAGTGATGAAGACCTCAGATACCATCTCACGCCAGTTAGAATGGTGATCATTAAAAAATCAGGAGACAACAGATGCTAGAGAGGATGTGGAGAAATAGAAATGCTTTTACACTGTTGGTCAGAGTGTAAATTAGTTCAAACATTGTGGAAGACAGTGCGGCAATTCCTCAAGGATCTAGAAATAGAAATACCATTTGACCGAGCAATCCCATTATGGGTATATACCCAAAGAATTACAAATCATTCCATTATAAAGACACAGGCACAAATATGTTTATTGCTGCACTGTTTACAATAGAAAACACTTGGAACCAACCCAAATGCCCATCAGTGACAGACTGAATAAAGAGAATGTGGCACATATACACCATGGAATACTATGCAGCCATAA